TTTCAATTTAAGAATAATAAACAATTAATGATAGAGCAACATGCTTGCTAAAGCATTATTTACATTGGCCATTTGTGTTTAAATATTACAATAACACAAGCCAAGAGTTATTTGCAAACTAGTGGACATCTTGAGCAAGGTATTTTCTAAGAGTGAAACATGTTCATCCCAGTCTTCAAATTGTATTATCAGCCCAAAACCCAAATATACTCACTTTAATGTGACATAAACCAGAGAAAAGCAGGAAAGCTTCACAAATTAGAGGCTATCAACAGCAATATCTGACATTTTTGCTTGAAAAACCACTTTAGTGATTCATCTATTATCAAAATAGTTTCTGTTTTCTATCAATAGACCAATTGTTGCGGCTCTAGTCGGGGTGAATGAGTTGTAGTAACTGTAACACAGCCAGTGTAAGAAACATTTGGCTCTGATTACACGAAGCCAAACACTTTCTCATCGTGTGATTTCTTCACCCGATGGCTTCTGTCCAGCTCTCAGATGAATAATGCTCACTTTGCTGATGACTAATTTTAACCGAATCCAGATTAACTGTGATCTTTTTCAGGCAACGATACTCAAACAGTAACTGAAAATAAAACCAACACATTACAGCCATTTGGTTTGGCCTGCCATCATGGGAGCTTTCAATTCAAGTGACAGTTACCAGGCAACACCTAGAAAACCCATGAAAATAATCAAACATTTTATAAAATAACATACTCATTCTGGCCTGAAGCCCAACATCCAAACAGAGTTTTTTTTAATCCTTAACATACCCTACATTTCAAAGATATTGTGTCACCTATCACGTATTTACTACAGAACTATCACAACAAGAGCATTTCATTTCTTACACGCCACTGTTTCCAGAACTTAACAATGTAGTGGAAAAAGTCTGCAGGCTTTTTGTTGCAAGTTCTCAGGAAATCACACTCAACTTGAGGGAAATAATGTGCTATTGTGCAAGGTCTCGCTGGCCAATCCGTGAATGTGAGATATTGTTCAGACGGATTATATGTAAGGTTTGAAGTTCAATGCCAATAAACTCATTCATGGTTCAATGAACACACAAAATGACTCACGGTGGCTGTACAATAGACTTTAGTGAAGAAAATGTTAAGGGACCACCAAGTTTTTATAAAATGTCCCCCTCTGTCTCGAGGGAGGATTTTCTTTGGACAAATGCCTTCTATATTAACCAAAAATGAGTGACAAGGCAGACAAATGTATTTCTTTTAAGCAGTGGGGGTTCTCACTGAGTATGTTTTTAGAGAAAACACCAGTTCTGGGACTGTGTTGCATTACCCTTCACTAAGACATAACTGAAAACACTTTTACTTGATATATGTCTCTTTATCTCTCTTATCCAATCTCCTCTTCATCTCATCTATAATTTCCGCATGTGCTTTCTTTCTTTAATACTTGTCCTGCTCTGTGTTCTCCTCTCTGCTGCTTTGTCACCTACAGCAGTGAAACAAATGCCCCTTTTCATACCCCCCTTGGGTGATACGAATACCTCATTTCCTGTGGCTTGGCACCGGGGGAAACCATAAGCTGGGACAGATGGGAGTCTGATTGGAATAACTGATGCAGACACTGAAAAACGGGCCCCAACAAAACATCCTTTGTTTTTCAAGAAGTGGCGAAATATACAGTGAAAACTCTCTCCTGCGCCGACTTACGTCCCACACCCAGAGTCATGGTGTTTGGGTAACAAAGTGGGGGGCTGAAGCTTGGGAGAGGTGATCGCTGGAGGTAATTTGACTGGATACTCAAATGAACAACACCTTAAAAGGCTATTCTGCTCATTTTCAGGTTCATATTTGTATGTAGTGCCCAGTGGCGGCCGGCCCATAGGGGCGCTAGGGGCGCCGCCCCACCTCTTCCCACATTCAAAAAAAAAATTTAAAAAAAAAATTAAATTAAAAAAATATATATTTAAAAAATATATATATTTTATATTTTTATTTGTAATGAACAAGGTAAATATCATACAATTGGTATCAGTAAAATGTATAATCTACAATAAAATCTCGATTAAAATTGTGTTACGATGTCTAAAGTTACTGATAAGTCACATGTTTCCTGCCTGGCCTTGCCCGTGGCATTGGTTTATCATTACCGGGCGCCGTGCAAGGAGCCCCCGAGCCAAACAGCAGCAACCAGCACGTTGCAAAAGTCTCAATAGTAAACTGTGCCGCCGAAACATAATTTCAGCCAATCAGCGCCGTCAAATATTTTGGTCACGAGGGCGCTCACGTTGGCGCCCACGTTGCTTACGTGACGTGAGTTGTTTTTTAGACTCGTGAGTGACCAAGGTGACGCAGTATTTAGAATGGTGTGCAGGTGGAGTCGCCGGACCTCGGTCCGCACCCAATTCCGTGCAAGAGCTACTCTCCAATCCTTTCCAAAGGAGAAGTTTGGGAGATAAATTGATACTTAAAGACCTTGGACCGGACCAACCCGATTTGTATATATCACAGCAAGCTCGTGAAAAAAACAAAACGTATCAATGAAGCTAGCTGGATGCAAACGATGCAAACAGGTAAATGCTATCTTTTGTTTCCCATGCTTGCTCTTCAAACAGCCGGGCGGGGACAGATACGATCTGTTCAGAAACTAGTTAAAGTTAAACAAGTACAAACCACAGACTGTCTGTGTCATGGAGAATACAGTCGCTGGTTTATTTATGTCTGTATAGGCCGTTGTTGTGAGTGTGGACGGTCGGAACATATAACGTTAGCTTAGCCAAGCTCCATTCAGAAAACAAGCATTCTAAAAGGTTTTTCGCCTGCCGTCTGTCTGCAGACTTGTCAAAGCATTAATTCATGGTTTTTACTAACCGGTATCAGTATGTTGTTACGTCGGCATAATTTAGAAACGTGTATTACAATTTAATCACGGTAAAATATGTTCATTTTGTTGTAGTTGTAGCTCCCTAGCCAGCGCGTCTTGTTTGAATGATGCGAGTAAACACAGCTGGCAGCCGCGGTGAAACTCGAGCGACTAGAGCGATGCGATAGGAGCCTTCACGGCCCGTCCACACAGCGGCGTGCGTTGAAGCTTCCAACGCTTCTGCCCATTCACTTTGAATGGGGTGACGTCACTTTTAGCCGAACTGCATTTTGGGAAGCGACGTGGAGCGTTGCTGGCGTCAAAAGTTGAGCAATGTTCAACTTTTGACGCCTCGACGGAGGCGTCAGCCAATGAAATCCCGTTTATGCCACTACAATCGCTAGCCAATCAAACCGCGTGTATGCTGGGAGAGACTACGCAGGTCATTTCCTCATATTCAAAAAAATTTAGCGAAAATTCATTGTAGCGGTAGTGAATCACCCGGTGCTGTATGATCAGTCTCTGTTCATCTACCGGGATACAAACCGGAGGAGCGAGGCATGGAGGGAGGTGGCAGAGACAGTGGGTGAAACTGGTAGGTTTTCGCCTGTTTGGGGATTTTGTATCCAGTTTACTTCGTTTTAACATTGCTATTGCTTTGTATGTCGGGGGCGGGAGATTCATGTGATTGGTTGTTGGTCGTGTTGGTCGCAAAAAATCCCCAAGCTTCAGATACGCCCACCTCCAAGCGTCAACGCACGCTGCTGTGTGGACGCTCCGTTAGAGCGAAGCGAATATTCGCATCGCGTCCGGTGTGAACGCAGCATTAAAGCGAGCTCCGCGCTGCACTGGAAACGCGCCATTACATCACCAGAAGTCCTAATTTAAGGGGTCATTTCTCCCAAAAAAAATGTGTTTACTCACTATATCAAAAGCCCCACCAAAAATATTTTCCACCAGCCGCCACTGGTAGTGCCTCTACTGGGACATGTCTCCATGCTTTAATGTTCACAAAACTATTTTTCTCATACTGCCTGTCCTGCAGCACCTCTTTTCACCATCTGTCTGAAACCAGAGCCCAGTCTGCTCTTTTGTGATTGGTCAGCCGCTTAGAGATGTCCCGCCCCCTTAGCCTATCACGTACAATGTGTTTGAGCGCTAGCCAATAGAAACGCGCGTGTTACGTAGTGGTGTCACAGACAAAGGAGTTTGGGGGAGGGGGCCAACTTTAGGATTTAAGCCTTTGCAGACCATTTACATGCACACAAGCCTTTATAACACACTACAGGAAAGGGAAATCATAATAAGGCCTCTTTTACAACTTGCTCATGTATGATCATATGTACACACACAACATATCTCTGCCTTAACCTTAAACACCAGGGCCTAAAATCTCCCCTCCTGCAGTCCTTTCTCCAGCTTCACTAATACACTCAGTGGAATTTGGGTCATACTCACTGGTCATCCACTCATGAGATGTAAAGGAGGCTGAAAAGGTCCATTTGCTGTGAATACACTGGGAGATTTCAATGTGGCCCGTTAAGGTTGAACATGTGCTGTTTTTGGGGAAACAATGTGGTAGTATTCAGCAGCATAATTTGGTATAAGTCGGGCTTGGCCCCAGCCCAGAAAGCACAGCAGTTGAAAGAAAGCTGCCAGAGAAAGAAGGCAGGCAGAGGAAAGACATTGATATTTTGAACTTTCTCCAGATACTGTTGCGAATGCTCCCAGTTGTGTACGCAAAAGCAAACGTTATGCACTATTCTTCTTTTTAGTACTTGATTTTATGAATGATAAAAATGCCAAGGAGAGTCATTCCTGCCTTTCGCCATCAAACACTTTAAAAACTGGACTTCACCATCAAGAAAACAATTTTTTACACCGTGCAATTCAGTGTTAATATATTTAATATTGTTTTAATTGTTCTTGTTAAAACAAATGGTTTGTACTTTTATGCTATGTAATTTTTTACTTTCAATGTTTAAAAAGGAATGTGTTACTATTTGTTTTTTATAAATACTATTCTAAAATGGAGCAACTGTTATTGAATACAAAAAAAATATTCTGATGAAGCTGAATATAGTATAATAAGAATGAATCCAAACTCTGTTATGTGTCTCATTTGGGATTCGTCCCACACACACAGAGATGGCGGTCCTTACCCTCTCAGAGTCTCCTGGCCGCGGCGTCTGACCCGCTGCACCTCTCTCTGGTCCTCGGTGCCGGTGAAGCGGCTCGCTTGGTGCTGTCCTGTCCCGGGAGTTTCACCCCAACACAAGTGGAACGACCCGACACACATGGCCGCCCATCCCAGCAGCACCTGGACCAGCTTCCCTGATGCCATCGGTCCGTCTGGCTATCCCTCCAAAACGCAGTTACCTCCCTGTTACCTCGCACTCTCTCTGGCTCGCCGTTCACCGTGTGGACCCAGGCTGAGGAGTCTAGACCGGGATCTAGATCAGAAGTCCTGGTGTGCACTCCAAAGCAGGGGCTAGGCAGAGAGAAGATAGGAGATTAGAAACACATTAAAGGTCCCCTATTATACTGTTTTTCATCAATATATCACAGGTCTCAGATATATACAAAACCTGTCTCTGATTGGCTGAAACACCAAACAGATCATTGCAGCATTACCCATAATCCCCTCTGTTTCAGCCCTGTTTCCAAAGTGCTGATTCTCTGTCTGTTACTTTAGATGAAAATAAGGAGCCCCTCCCCACGCCCCTCTGAGAGAGATTTGGTTACAAAGAACACAATGGTGCTCTAGGAGGAGATTCAGGTGATAAGGGGGGGGGGGTTACCTTGGTTGGTGATTGGCTAATGGTTACACAAGACAAAAAATCGTTGTGACATCATAAAGTGGCCAACATCTGATCAGCTCATTTTCCGACAGGTTTTTATAGAAATGGATCAGGACAAAAAGAGAGAGAATCTTTGTTCCTGAAACTTTCAGAGTCTCTTTCCACAGAGGGGACACATGTTGATGAAGAAGAGACATGAAGAAGAGGGGACACATGTTGATGTAGAAGAGACATGAAGAAGAGGGGACACATGTTGATGAAGAAGAGACATGGAGAAGAGGGGACACATGTTGATGTAGAAGAGACATGAAGAAGAGGGGACACATGTTGATGTAGAAGAGAGATGAAGAAGAGGGGGACACATGTTGATGTAGAAGAGACATGAAGAAGAGGGGACACATGTTGATGAAGAAGAGACATGAAGAAGAGGGGACACATGTTGATGTAGAAGAGACATGAAGAAGAGGGGACACATGTTGATGAAGAAGAGACATGGAGAAGAGGGGACACATGTTGATGTAGAAGAGACATGAAGAAGAGGGGACACATGTTGATGAAGAAGAGACATGGAGAAGAGGGGACACATGTTGATGAAGAAGAGACATGAAGAAGAGGGGACACATGTTGATGAAGAAGAGACATGAAGAAGAGGGGACACATGTTTGATGAAGAAGAGACATGGAGAAGAGGGGGACACATGTTGATGTAGAAGAGACATGAAGAAGAGGGGACACATGTTGACGTAGAAGAGACATGGAGAAGAGGGGACAATGTTGACGTAGAAGAGACATGAAGAAGAGGGGACACATGTTGATGTAGAAGAAACATGAAGAAGAGGGGACACGTGTTGATGTAGAAGAGACATGAAGAAGAGGGGACACATGTTGATGTAGAAGAGACATGAAGAAGAGGGGACACATGTTGATGAAGAAGAGACATGGAGAAGCGGGGACACATGTTGATGTAGAAGAGACATGAAGAAGAGGGGACACATGCTGATGTAGAAGAGACATGAAGAAGAGGGGACACATGTTGATGTAGAAGAGACATGAAGAAGAGGGGACACATGTTGATGTAGAAGAGACATGAAGAAGAGGGGACACATGTTGATGAAGAAGAGACATGGAGAAGAGGGGACACATGTTGATGTAGAAGAGACATGGAGAAGAGGGGACACATGTTGACGTAGAAGAGACATGGAGAAGAGGGACACATGTTGACGTAGAAGAGACATGAAGAAGAGGGGACACATGTTGATGTAGAAGAGACATGAAGAAGAGGGGACACATGTTGATGTAGAAGACACATGAAGAAGAGGGGACACATGTTGATGTAGAAGAGACATGAAGAAGAGGGGACACATGTTGATGTAGAAGAGACATGAAGAAGAGGATTTTGCATAATAGGTCAACTTTAAAATACAGAGAGACTCATCAAAGGAGGTCCAGTGGTTCAGCTCATCGATTTTTTTTATTTAGTCTGAGATGTTCATATGAGGATATGGATCGATCCACTGACCCTCTGATTGACAGACACCCATTTTCTCTCCGAGCCACAGCAGACTGGCTTCTAAATTATTCTAAAAAAACGTTTCCAACTAGGATATGTCATGTGAACGACCCCTTGAGTCACAACAACTACTTTCCAAAGTTAGCCAAGCTTTTGGTGCACATTTCAGATACGATCTGATCCGTTTCCTCTGTGTTTTGTTGTCACAGAAAAACCAGAAATATTCTGATAAATAAAATAAGCCTACAACACATTTTCTTTGAAGTTTCCATGTTGTTTCCATATTTCGAGGCTCCATTCATTTTGTAATGCCTGGAAGATGCTTAAATCCTTAAGTCATATGGTGTGTTGTTGTTGTTGTTGTTGTAATTTAATTATGTTGGTTATACTGTACACATGACCTCTATTGCACGTCCATCCGTCCTGGGATCTCCATGTATTTCATATTCTCCTAAAAGCTCTTAAAGGGTTTTCCTTAAAGCTTTTTGGCTGAGCTGGTAGCTAGTTTCTATGCAACACATGATTTCTGTGTGGTATAAATAGTTTAGGTTGACAGGAGGCTTACGGTTATTGTAACAAAAGTATAATCGACCTGTCCACATATCTGCAGAGTTATCCCCTTTATCCCTGGTTGGGAATCATTGATCTTACAAATCATGTTTAACCATAGGATACAGCTTCAACCATTCTCATACATTTCCTGAGCTTTGAAAAATCTATGAACAAGACATCTTGCCATTCTGTTGTGAAATGGTTTCCAAAGGAATTATCCACTGATTTGATTTATCTGTTTGTGACAAGCTCGGTGGTTATTTTTAGAAAAGAGAAAACATGAGTTGTGAGGTGAATAAAGAAGAGCATGCAAGGAAATCGTAGAAACACGTTAAACCCTGAGTTCCAACAATCTGTTTTCCCTATAGCACTTCAAAGCCGTGCCATAAGTGGTTTATCACTGCACAGACTCCACATACTGTATGTAGTGACTGCACTACACAGAGAGAAGTCGTAAAGTGATTACACAGACATGTTCAATGTCAGAGACCCGGAGCTGTTGAATATGTTGTGTTTTTTTACATTAAAAGGGATGTGAATGCAAATAAAAATCATCTCAACTCCCGAAAGCTGTTTTAAACTGAAACATGTCTACATAGTGAGTTGTTTTTGGCCTCTTTGGGCCTCTGAAAAACATATTTAATACAGGAAAAAAGGGGCAAAGCTCTCATCTCATAGGTGCAAACTGTTACCACGGGCCATAAAGAGGCATTGCTTGAATTTAAAGGGTCAGAAGCCAAACATGTTGGGGATCCCTGCCCTAAATCACACATGTTTGCCTAGAGTACATGTGTCAAACTCAAGGCCCGGGGGCCAAATCAGGCCCTTGGTGGATTTAATTTCGGCCCGCAGGATCATTTTAAATTCCTATTAGATCTGGCCCGCCGGTATATTGCACGCACACCTTCACTCCATCCTGAGGGTCTCCTCAGCTCAGAGCCTGAGCCCAAACATTGATGACCTTGCACCCAAGAGGAGATGCCAAGTATCTGAACTAGCATCACAGAGCAGCACACTGAGTTTAATGGATGCTTCCTTCTGCACTTTCTCTCAGGACAACAGGGCATGTTTGGTTTTCTCTTTGAGGGAAATAGTTTTGTTGAAGCTGTTGTTGGCCTGTGGGAAAATGTAATCATAAGAAATGACTCTGGAAAAGCTGCAGATAGAGCCATAAGAAATGAATGCAACTGATTATTTAATGTTTAATGTTGTTTTTATAGGCAATCATTTAAGCTTTCTTAGTTCCAGGTTTAATATGTGCAATAAGTTCATTTCAATAAGTTCTGCAATAAACATTGAACCAGTCCGGCCCTCGACTAGTACCCTTTTTTTTATTTTGGCCCACTGTGTATTTGAGTTTGACACCCCTGGCCTAGAGGGAGCCAGAGAGGGAGTTAAGTGGTGAGGTAAAGATGATCAATCAAACAAAAAATGTCCCTAACCAACGATCTGAGAAAACAACAACCAAATACACAACCTGAAAGGCACTAATTTAATTGCTCCTATTATTTTTCATGATTTATGGAGTTTGGGTTTATTTGCTAACCCCAAACATAGTTTATATAGACCTACAAGCTTTTCTTGAGTCTGTTAACCTGGAAAAACATTCATCTGAATGAAACAGCCTTCAGGTTTATTGTCTCTTCTCTACCTCATTATGAACCACTATATAACTGTGGGCCCCTAGTGATATATAACCTCAGCCAAGGGGCCAACCACACTAGTCTATATATCTGGGGTGGACGCAGAAAAAAGATAATAAATAAGGCCCCTCATCCTGCTGATTCAGTTTTATTTTAGAGGGAGATGACAGATAGAGGATTGTCTTACTCCAACATACAGAGAAAAGACAGAAGTGATGCAAGACTAGACAAGACGTGGTAATTAAGAGATAATTAAGTTGCATGTCATTATCCCAAAAAGTACTTAATTGTGCCTCTATCTCAAATCTCGCTCAACTTTCTAATCACTGCAATCATACACAATTAATGAGAGTTGTAATATAGTAGATAGACGTTGCCAATTAAGCTTCAAATGGAGTTATTAAAAGAAAAAAGTCCACTGAAGAGAAAAAAGTTGGCAGCAGAAGGAGAAGTGAATGTAGGCGGGATCAATGCGGAACAAAAGAAATGCCTGATCAATTACAGACAGCTCTCCTCACAGTGCTGTCAGAAAAAGGCAGGTAAAGCCTCCAGTCTGCAGAATCTGGTCATCAACTCATCCCCAAATCTCACTAACAAACCATCCATTGTAATCGAAGAGTGACTTGAAAATCCCATCTGTATTTAACATGCTTAAAGGAAGATTAGGAGATGCAAAAGTGTGTTGCAGTTACTGAAAATGCAATATTTAGAAACACACGTCATGCCCTTACAGTCATAAAGTGCAGCTACTACATTGGAAAAGGATACAAAATGTAAATCGATCTCAAAATGACAAAAATACACATTTTCTATATATTTGTTGCAGTATTTCTCTGCAGCTCCGCGCGACTTTATGAATGAATAAAACGCAACATCAGCTTCTCCAGCGGAACCGAGAGTAAAACCGAAATGGGAAATAAGTCATTGCATTTTTTACCGAATTTTCTTTCCACGAAAGCTAATTCCAAACTCCAACATGAGAGCAATGAAACAGTAGAACGTGACTAGTCTATCGGGGATTTCTTTTGCACCATGCATTTGCTAAAAAAGCCGGTAAAAGTGCAACTCCACCCGCTTATTAACAACTTTTCATCCACCTCCCTGCATCTGAACCTCCTAATAAGACCCTTACCTCTCCAAAACAGACATGCATAGAGAGATAATCCCCGCTTAACCACGGGCTCCTGGAACAATAGTCACAATCAAAGCCATTGATAACAGTAATGTAAGGCTCACAATACCTTGCAACAAAGCGGAGTGCCTCGGCGTCGAGGAGCCCAGAGTCGGAATTTTTGGGAGAGGATATGTGCCCCAGAATGGAATATTGAACTATAGCCTTGTGAGAAAAAGGGAAAAGTTAGGGAAATGCCCTGTTTGGGAAGAGGGGAGGGGACACAGGCAGAGACAGGGGGAGAGAGAGGGGGTAGGAACGGACTGCAGGACAAACCCACATTCCTCAAGACTCCTACAGTTGTTATAACAGGGGCCAAGCAGCTAAACTCCACACTGAGGCTAACAGGTTTCACTATCATCACCCTGCAACAAAAACCTTCAGGCTACTTCAGTGAGGAGATAAGGCTCTCACCGGAGGAGAGGATCTTTGATGCCTCCTTAGAAGCATCCATGCTGTGGAGACATAATGAAAACAGGGTACCTAACATTATTGTGAGGGGAACAGGTCATGATGAGTAATTAAATGTGAGGTGTACTCAGTGGAGTAAAGTACCTAAGTTCATTTACTCAAGTACTCTACTAAAGCACCATTTTGAGAGACGTGTAATTTGTACTTCTACTCCACTAGTTCAGAGGTAAATGGTGTACTCTAACTCCACTACATTTTATTAATACCTTTAATTACTTTACAGATGTGGATGAATGATGTGAAATCTAATCAAGTGTTAAATCAGACTTTAGTTCCACCTGGAGTAAATCCACCAGCTACCCTGCAGTATACAAAGTCATTCAAACTAGCTGCACCTTCACCAGCTTTGAGAACACTTTCATGATCAATCATTATAAAACATATCATATATATTATTCTGAAATGGACAAATCTGCACAACGACTACTTTTACTTTTGGTACTTAAAGTATATTGTAATGTTAATACTTGTTCTACTTTTACTTGAGGAACATTTTGAATGCAGGACTTTTACTGTAACAGAGTATTCCTAGACTCTGGTACTTCTACTTTTACTCAAGTATACAAGATCTGAGTACTTCTACTTTTACTCAAGTACAAGATCTGAGTACTTCTACTTTTACTCAAGTACAAGATCTGAGTACTTCTACTTTTACTCAAGCACAAGATCTGAGTACTTCTACTTTTACTCAAGTACAAGATCTGAGTACTTCTACTTTTACTAAAATACAAGATCTGAGTACTTCTACTTTTACTCAAGTACAAGATCTGAGTACTTCTACTTTTACTCAAATACAAGATCTGAGTACTTCTACTTTTACTCAAATACAAGATCTGAGTACTTCTACTTTTACTCAAATACAAGATCTGAGTACTTCTCCTCCCTCTGGAAAAAAGACTCACCAGAGAGAGGGTGCTTTCTGAGAAGCATTTGTATTCATGCTGTGGAGCCAATAATGACAAATAGGGTGCCTAACATTATCTATTGTGAGGGGAAGAGGTCATGATGGCTTGTGAGAGTAATTACATGTGAGTGTACTTAAGCACAACACACTTTCATTACAGATCACAGTGTGTTTGTAAATGGAGTTAACAGCAGAGCATACAGGCTGTGTTGCCGTGTCACAGACAGTACGCTTGCTTTTCAAATCCTCCTGCTGTTTACTGCCTCTTGTGATTGACACATCCTTGTGCTTTGTTGCCACAAGTGCTGATAGGAAGTTCACAGAGAGAGTGTGGCCAGCTGGGTGGTATATGGGTGAGGACAGCTGAGCACATCCCAAGTGTTTCTGCCCACTGCTGATTTCACCACTCTCAACTAAAAAAAGCAACTGTTTAGAAAGCTCTAGAATAACCTGAGACAGCAAAGGTTAAGTAAAGGTGCGTCCTCTTGATGCAAAAGTGTTCATAAATGTAGGGTAATTAATCAATAAAAGATGATAGGTATTCATATAGACTTTCATTTAATATGAAACAAGTCTTAAACGGGACCTATCATGCAAAATGCACTTTTTGATGTATTTTAGGGAACTCACAAAGTGTCAGAAAACAAAACCCTCTCTTTTCCTCTGTAGCCTAACCAAATCTCTAAAAACGTGGTTACAACGGAGCTGATCCAGATTTGCGTCCGATATGACGTAAATTACATCATATCAGACATGTGGACCCACGGCACTATCAGAAACGTTGCTATCAGAAACAATCCCTGATGTGGTTTAGACGTAATATGGTCTTTGTTTACATTAGCAAGCATCGCTAACACTCAGAGCTAACCTGTACTGGAGAGAGTATGTGTAAAGAAGCAGGAAATGAAAAAACGAACTAATTTTGTGGTAAACCCGCAAGAGAAAAAGCATTTGAGCTCCATACTGTTTCAAAAATATTCCTTAACATGATGGTGTTTAATCACGGCAGAATTTAACTGTATCTGCCGGTAGAATTCTGAGCAGGCATTAGCTCCGCCTCCTTTTTGACCCAAAATCAGCGTTTCTCTAACAGGGCTGGAACAGAGGGATATGAGGGATGTCTAAAATGCATGATGTGTTTGTTATCTTGAGCAAAACACATCATAGACATGTTTTATATATTTGTATATATCTGAGACCCATAATATATGCCTAAAAATAGCATAATAGGAGACCTTGAAGGTGTTTTAATAGTACTACTTTTGGCCAGTAGTTCAACTGAAATTGATATTTTGGGTTTGTTTTCTATGTTGTCTTTTCAATTTTCACAATGCACTAAATAAAGAAGAAAAATAAATAAAAACGTTGCTGAAATTAGGAGGTTTTTCCCTTGGAAATATTGCTGTTTTTTCCTTGGCACTGACCTACCAATCGCACAAATACAGCATCTCCTAAAGTATATTCGAAATGACGTTTTCTTGGCCATTGTTGTGGACTTTATTTAGCATGTTCTGTCTGTGCTCTTCGGCTCAGATGCTACTTCGAAGTAAGTCGGTGGCATACTTGCCAACCTTGAGACCTCAGAAATCGGGAGGATTTGATCGCCTGAGCTGTATTGGATTAACATTAACTACCATGCTTATTGTAGTTGTAAGTGCACTGCCTTGCGGCCTGTAGCACCATCCTTGATGGAGCATATGTGGGCTGGACCTGTGTTTTACAGGAAAGGAGTGAGCAGAGGGTCGAGTTGTCGATTCTTGTTCTGTTTTCTGTGACTATCTTCCTCACCCTCTCAGACTTTTAGTTGCACGCTACTAAAGAGACGCGTTACCATGGAAACCAAACAATGGTGTAGCTGTATAAAGTCCGAGTGGAAACAGTCCTGAGTAAATCTGATTTAGTCAGAAATCGGGAGAAATGCGGGAGAAATATGACCCCGGGAGGAAACCGGGAGAGGGCAATGAAATCGGGAGTCTCCCGCGAAAATCGGGAGGGTTGGCAAGTATGGTCGGTGGGTGTTTCTCAATCTCGAGTAAAGCTGCTCCAGAGCCACTATTTCAAGCATACTACGTCATCGAGTGCCGCCGAAGTACTGTTCCAATGTTCAGCATACTTGGAAATCTACCGAGCCCGGCGTACTTCGTTTGGAGAAATTTCGAGGCTGCACATGTGTAGACTCCGCGGTCTTAAAATCCCCACAATGGGGATACCTGCGTCCATCTCAACACATGTTACATTACATTACATTACATGTCATTTGTTAGATGCTTTTATCCAAAGCGACTTACATACATTCAGTACTTTGGGCAATCCCCACAGGAGCAATGGGACTCGAACTTGCTACCCCCTGATTTGAAGTTCAGTGCACTATCCACTGAGCCACAGCCTCCCGCTAAAGCAGGCAGCCCATAATCCTCACCTTTAATTCAATTCCTCCAATTGGGTAGGATTTGTGTTGGATTATGTTCTCACTGTAATGCAAACAGTGCGAGACCACCTCTTCAAAGTGATCTCGGAGTTAACAAAATGCATCTAAAGTTGACTTGTGATCTGTCTGACAATAACCATCAGCGTTTTATTTAGTTTGAGGTCTTTGGACTAATTGAAAGAGGCCCTCTTGTGCTTTGTGGGGTTCTCCCTCTCCTGTAGTGTGTTATACAGGTTTGTGTGCATGTAAATGGTCTGCAAAGTCTAAAATCCCTGTGTTCCCTCCAGAGGGATTTTCTCTCACACACACTCCCCAAATATCGACCTGAAAATGAGCACAATAAGGCCCCTTTAACTTACTTCCCTGAAAGAAGTGTGACAACATTGTGGAATTTTATGAGCGATTGTGAAGAAAAAACATCTTACAATCAGGGGATGACGTTTTAAGACCTTGACTTGGCAACGTCTGTCCTGCTGAAGTGTCAAACATCTGTATGTTTACTCCTAAACCCTGGAGAAATGGGATCTATAAAGTATGGCTTTATTACAAAGCTGTTTTGATGCTACTCTTTTGACCCTACACCTGTTTTTTGAGTTGAGTTGAAGCACTGCCAGGCCTCGGTTATCGACGGTCGGGATGACTGCCCGTCCGCCGTTCCTAGGCCTCTCAGCTCAACGTTTGGTTGGCGACATTCGTTTCGCAAGTTGGTCTTGCACCATTTCTTGCTACTCACAGAGGAGGCCACATGAAGGCTGTCTTCTTCTTCTACACATGTTCAATCATAGTCATAAACTTACTTTCCTCACATCTCTTGGGATGTTTTGAACAAAATAAGAGAGTTTTTATTAGTGTTTGTTGATCATCACTGATTACCATGTATACTCAACATCATGCAAGTTGGATATTGTCTGCAGTCACGTCAAAGAATAACCAAAGCTAAGGATTCTTCCAATGAAACCAATTAAGCATTTGAAGTTTGGAGTAGTTTTTCAGACAGTGATGACTACAGTTAATCCCTCAAAGGACCTCTGAGTTGTTCCTCTTTGGAAAACAAAAAGCACAGTTGGTGTTTTCCCGGGACAACAACACTTGCCTCATCTGTCTCTTCTTAAACAAAAACAGGCCTTCGTAAGCATCATTAATCCTCGATTCTAGACAATAAGGCATTATTGTGGAAGCTGGAAATACTCGTATTCGTTTGCTCCAAGTCCCTGTGATGAGCCTTAAAAAGCTCACATGTTTTGTTGTAATGTCTTCGGCCAAGACAAAGTTGGGTAATTACAACCATGTGCATTACTCTTGTTCTATCTCTGCAGGACCTGGCATGATGTAAATGTACCAAAGTGAATGTGGGGGACTAGGATTTCCGGAGATGAGATGATGTAAACTGCTTTTAATGATCAGGGGATGCATTTAAATTTTACA